TGATGACGGACAGGAGCGGATAGGCCCGGAGAGAGGGGGAGCCTGGCAGGGAGGAAGCACAGGCAGATGGAGGTCAGATCAGTGCTGATGTGTTTGAGCAATGGGAGGGCAGGGGAGAGGAGGGAGACAGCAAGGGCTGTCCTGGCTCTGCCATTTGCTTGTTAAAGGACAAGCAAGAATAATCCCCTCTGTCAACCTGTTCCTTCTCCCAGACTGCACAGATTTTCTTGGGCTGGAGAACCCTAACCCTGACCCTAACCCTAACCCTAACCACAATCCTAACCCTAACCCTAACCCTAGGACAGAGAAAGGAAGGACTGCCTTTCCACTCCTTTTTTAGGAGATATTATAACCATTGAAATCATCTGTCTAATTACTGCAAGAGACTGAACTCCAAGCAAAGGATGAAATATATCCCCATTTTGTTCCCAACTTTGTTTCTCTGGGGAAACTAGGACAGGGTTCACTTGAGACAGTCCCCTGCCCTTGCAGGTAATAGACAACAGAGTCTGGTTCACAGGTCTTGCCATCCCCTAATGGGCAACTGCATCAGAACCACCCTCGCCCTCCATTGCCCACACTGATCCCGCTGACCATGCAGCAAGATGAGGATGAATACATCCCAAGAGTTCTTCACTGACTGAATGCTGCATCTTACACCACACAGTTGATACCAGCCCTAAAAACAAACCAGTTCTGCTCCAATCTTTTCAGATCAGGGCTGTTCTGGGATGACAAATCCAAACATTCCCAAACACTAGAGGAAGTTCTGATCCACATCAGGCCTTCTGATTTACAACCATAGCAAATTCCTGCTCAACCTTAGCCCCAGGAAATTGAATGTTCCTTTAAAGTTTGGGCAGGGAAATTGAGCTACATGCGGGAAACGTAAACTCACTGTAAGATATACAACCTGCAGAGTCTTGGGCAACTCACTTTCTTGCTCTGTACCTCATTTTACCTCATTTGCAAGATGGAAATAATCCTCCTTACCTACATCACTGATGGTAAAACATGGATTAAAATTTAATGTACACAAAGTATGTGGAGATCTTTAGATAAATGGGACTGTGGAAAGGAACATATTACACCAGCAGGCCTGATTGTGAAACCCTTCACATGAATCACCACTAATGAAAATAATGATCTCAAGACCTCAATGAGTGTGTTGGGGTGAGTAACTCCACACCGTGGAGGAAAGGAGTTCCCAGCCTGGCCTGCTGATGACCTGTATTCCTCAGCCCTCTCCTCAGCTGTAGGGTTGTGATCACAGGAACCAGGTCCTAGGTGAGCTGGGTACATCAAAGAACATCATAGACTGTTGATCGTTGCTTCTCTCCTCAACCACAGCAATGTGCAAAATCCAGCCACTTAAAAAGCAAGCTGGGGAAACTATTGTCAAAACTCTAAATAGCTGTGACTACAGACTGGGGTTTAGGCAGACTAGGGCTTCAGTCTTGCTTTCTCCTCCACACCTCTGCAACCCTAAAAATCAAAGTATTTCCATTAAATGTAAAGCTTTCCACTTAAACCACCAAGGAAGCATATGAGAGATGAGATCAGGTTTGCCAAGCCAATCTTTAGCTTGTGTCAAGCCTTATCTACCTTCTTTTTCTGAATATTTTTTCCAGCTGAAGACTGTGCTGATCTACAGCACCACTGAGCAACCTGGTGGAAATTTTGCCTTGATTTACAACTTCAGTGGCTGTTCAAAGATCATAAATTAGGACAGAGTGTGCTGTCCTTTGCTTTACACCTCTTGTCCTTTGCTTTACACACTAAATTTTTGCTGGTATTTATGCTCCCTCTGACACCACTCAGCTAGACAGAACACAAAGCAGATGCTGCTCCCATAGCCCATGTCCTTCTTGTCAACCCACCACTGTTCATTTCTGACACTGTGGAATAACAAAAAACTTGCTGGCCCACCCATAGAACAGATAATTTCTTCTCTTTTAGCCAAATTTGCCCAAAAATCATCCGCTCTTGTCTCCTTGAAGGGTGTCTCAATGTCTAGGGTCCTGTGAAGGAACACTGAGGCCACCTCCACCACGAGAGGTGTTCCTGGGTGTGCCATAGGATTCATGAGACATCGTGTGCTGATGTCTTCATTTGCAGCAGTCCTGGACTCAGCCCCAGGACACAACTGCTCTTGGTCACTCAGGCTCCAACAAACCTCTTGGATCCCAGTTCTACCCTGTTCTGGATCAGGAGACTTAAACTTAAGCTTATTCCAGAAAGGAGCAGGTCTGGTCTTATTACATCCCCTTATCCACTGCTCTGGGGTCCTGGTTCAACCCTGCCCATCACAGAGCTCCTGCTCCTCCACAGGTTCATGCTCCAAACCTTATCCCACAGCCCCTTCCTGTTCTCACTCATGGGTAGCTTTTGGCATCAGATCACTGATTAATCAATACTTTTGTACTTCCATACATTTCCAGCAGGGCTCTCCATAAAGCACAAAATTACTCATTAATAATAAATCACCAGAGCTCAGAAACCCCTGCAAGGCTCCAAGTGACTGACACCTCTGGATGAAAGGATTTTTACAAGAAACTTTCTTCAAAGGAGGTCAGCAAAGTTATTTGATATCAGAGTAACCAGGGATATTTTCTTTTCTGTATGGCATAGCAGCAGCACATGGAGTGCTTGAAGGGAGGGGAGGGCAGTTACAGTCGTCCCAGAGCATAAGATCTGCCTTCACCAAACAGAGAAAAGTCGCTTCAGGTTATTTTTCTAACAGTCAAGTAAGATTTGGATTACAAGAACTGCTTTTCAAGATGAGCAGCAAGGGCTTGGCTATTTTTGCAGAGTACAAGAGTGGTTATTAGAGAAGCAGATGACACTGGAGTTGTTTGGGCCTGGGTTTTCAAGTGCTGAGCACCTGAATGGGGGGATACATTTTCCAAAATTCTCAGCAGCCAGCAGCTGTGCCCTGGTCAAACACTTAGAAAAGCTCAGCACATGCTTATTTTTGGAGCCCACGTCAGGTCACAAATTTATTTACAGCCCTTCTGAAACCACGGTGCTGCTTCTGCACAAGTCGTGGTTTACAACTGCCTAGCTGATTTGAGTTCCAGGTGCTGAACAGATTTGTGAGGCTGTTGACACTAAGTGTCGTGTATTTGTTTATCATTTGTGCTTGCAAGAGTAACCTTTGCTTATGGTTTGACACCAACAGTTGTGACAGGGCTTTTAGAAACCACTGTAAATAATGAAAGCATCATGATCAGCCCAGCTTATACAAGACTGGTCAGTTTTGTGCCCTCAGCCTGGCGAGGACACAGCATGGATGTGGCACAGAGTAAGAAGTAAAGATGGCATCTAGAAAAGACATGAGCGTCACGGCTGCAGATATTTTTGGGGAGAAAGCTACAGGTCAGAAAGGGGGCAATGCTTTAGCAGCCTCTTGCATGTGGAGCAAACCAGAAATAACTGACCTCTACATTGCACGAGGCAGCTTTCAGCTCCCAGAGAAAGAAGCCCAAGTTCAGTGTCCTGCTCTGGATCTAGTTATCCCAAAGTTCAAAGCAGCTGAAGGTGAGCCCGTCCACAGCCTCTAGGTACACTGTTAACATGACTCCCCTTAAACCATCTGTACAGTTCTCACCCTGATAAAGCCTTGCCTTCCAAACACCATGAAATCTGAGGTGAGATCTAAACTCCTCATCCCCCAGAGTTCAAAGGTACTTCTAGACTGACATGGTATTGTAAGAATGGAATAATTTCCTAATCTTCAACAAATTAAATGCTGGCAGGCAGCTCTTGTCTGCTCAGCACTGTTGTGACATGCTCTGTCTCCCGAACTGGGATGAATGGGAGTGAAGAGCTCCTTCTTTCCATACCTGCCTTTCACAATGGTTGCACTGAACACGTTCTCACCTGCACTGTTGCATGAGCACTTTTTCTGACCCATTGCTCTTTTGTACAGGAAAACGCAAAAGATGCCCACATAAACCAGAAAATGAGGAATTCGCTACTCTAGAAAAACACCTAAAGCATTTTCATATTTCCATCTAAAACTGTCAAGAGGCCCCACACTCCACTGGTGAAACCATCAGTTGTTTAGGACTCAGGAGGTCTCACTGCTCTTCACAGGGACAATGGTCTCTGACTATGTGGTTTTCTACAGAAAAGTCCCAGTTTTATCTGCTAGAACAATCGTAATCATCCCAAAGCCTCGGGTATTCTTGGGCTCACTCTGCTGCTGAATACTTCTCAAATATTTGGGAAAAATAAGTATGATCCCATAATTCATACTATGCACTACTGAAGGAGCACTGCCTAACAACAGATTATTTTCTGTAGTTCTTTTTTAAGGATTTGAATAATCTCAGTTTCAAGCAGTAAGAACACTCTTATTTCTGTCCACCCCACAAAGCAAACATCTGGCCACTCCTGCTAAAACTAACCAAGGGCTAAAAATAAAAAAGACATTGGATCTGCAGAGCATTTTCTATGATCTGACAAAATTTTGCTTCGCTATTTAAATCTGCGTTGGCAGCCACTGTACTGTGAATAACAGATCTGTAGTAAGGACTGCCCACATCACCTTGGCATGAATTGGGCATATTCAAGCCACACACAGGATAACCCTGGAGTCCTGTTTCCTAATTATATGTCAGATATTTTTGCAAAAAACCTATCATGGTTTGATGTATCTAAAGATTTTTTTTGTCTTTTTTTTTTTTTTTTCAGCAGCAACAAGAAGATGTTACATCAAGAAAACCAATCTGAAACCATCTCCACTCACCTTCTAGAACATTTCCAATAAATTTATTTTAAACTTCTTCTGACCACTACCTAAGACACAGTGGATACACCACCACTGGACAGATCACCTTGCAGAAGTTGTAATTAAAAATAAATACTTGAAACAAGTATTTTCCCCTTATTTAGCCCCTCCTCCCCTCCTCCCTGGCTTAATTTCAACCCCAACAGACACAGAATAAGGAAGAGAAAACGGAAAGCACTAATTAGTTGCACGGTTTGACTGCCGGCAATGGAGGAACAGTTTTCCTCCCAGGCAAACTTAGTTTCCAAATGTTGTTTTGGAAAGCAAGAAAGAAAAAGGAAGGAAAGATTTATGGATCAGCTCCTCTTGGCAAGTCAGCCCTGCTCAGCAACTGAATGAAGCTCACTCAGAATGGGCTGCAGCAAAAGGTAAATAATAAAAGAAAATGAATTTACGACTTAGGAAGGTCTATAAATCTCTCATCTCCTGACTGTCAAAACAAGGGGAACCAAGGAGTTGAGTTCATTTCGCTGAAGGAGCAGGCAGTCTCCTGACAGGAATAAGTGATCCCTGAGTGAAGTAAGGAAAACAAAAGAAGCGTGGAAACGTTGAGAATTAGTTGAACCACACACAATTTCTTTAGTAGGGAGGGCATTACATAGACTTTTTCCACCATAGATCCCAAAAAGCAAAGACTTTCCAACAATACCAATTCCATGAATCTCAGCTAGAGTTTACCACCTCATCCAGAGCATGAGGGACCTGTCACAATCCAGGAATTCAATGTGGCCCAGGAGCCAAGTGCTTAAGGACAGCAGCCAGGTACCCAGTGTGTGCTGCAGGACACATGACGTCCCCTCACTCAGGGTGGCACTTTGCCTTATGGCTGCCACACCTGTCAGAAGTTGACCAGAGAGAAAACCTGACCCTTGTACAAGGGCTCTGTTCCTCTGCTGAGCTTCCTCAGGCAGCACATGGATCTGCAGCACCTGACTTGTCCATTAGGAGCACTGCTGAGGGCAGGAAAGCAATTCTTGCACTCAGGTTAGACCTTATTTAATCTGTTTTTGATGACATAAAATTTAAACGTTCTCTGCTCCCCCTATACCAGGCTTAGGCACTGAGAAGTTCCCCAGACATGGGAGACTCTTTTTAACTAGCTATTAGAAGGCACCAGATTCTTCCCAAGACCAACACTTGCTCCACCAAGCACCCTGATACAGACATAAAGGCAAGAGGAAATGAAAGAACAGCAAAAGGCTGTGCATATACCAGAAAAATTCACATTCATTCTTGCCTCAGGAACAAGTGCTTAGGACAGCATTGAGGGCAATTTCCAGGTCTCTCAGACTTCCTTGATCCAGTCATTTCCAAGGTGCCTGGCCCACTGAGCACTGTCATGAACACTTCGATCCCAAGTTTAAAAAATGACCTGGGTGATGTTTCTGCTATGCAGCATGGTGGGAACAGATCCCTCTGCTATCTCCAGAATGGGAAGCAGCAGAGCCATGCCAGGGGATGGCTGCTCCTGAGCCAATTATGGCCTGGGCAGAGGTGGGCTAATGAGGCTGCGATCACAGCGCTGACAGCTTGGCACTTCCCAGCTCTGAGTCCATGCGTTTGCATGGAGCAGCCCTTGGAACACACTGGCACACACAGTCCTTCAGAGCTGAAGTCCAGGCAAAGCCTCCCTAAGCTGCCCTTGAGCAAGGCCATTGAGCCTAGAGGTAGTACCTAGGTATGGAATTAGATGTTTTTAGCATCCCTCTCAAACAAAGCTTAGCCAGAAAAGTGGAGATGAGTAATTTGTCAGAATCCCTTTTTATCAACCAGTTCAGGAACTGGTTCTCTTCTCATCCTTTCCAGTCTTTAGGAAAGACAACCCTCAGATACTCTTTTAGATTTCCTATACCTCTCTTAGTATTGAAGAGCTGGAAAACCTGTAGACAATCCTCTGAGCCTTTACAAGTGCCATAGCTCAGCTCTATAAGCAGATTTTTCTGTGACTATTACATATTAAATGGGAATCCTGGAAGTGGGAGTGTTTGAAAATGCTCTTTGTTGCCATTCTTCCTCTCCAGCACCTCAAAGATCAGAGACAGACTTAGCCTTGTTTCAGGAGAGGAGAATTGTCTGTGGTTTGGTTTCTTTTTCTGCTTGCTCTCTTTCTTTGGATATGTGTGGAAAATGATGGTAGCTAAGCTAGACCTAAAGTCTCTGCACAAGAGCAGAGGTGAAGGGCACTTCTGGGACATTTTGAGAGCTTCCAAAAACAGTCTTAAGACTCAGCCAAAATGCAGAGAGACAAAATTTCCATAGGAATTGTGTCACGGAAGCAACTGGAAAGCAGAGCAATCAACACGGAAATCTTAAGTGCAGAACTGGAACATGAACAGACACCACTGATACTCTAAAATAACACCAGTGAGGTTCCTTGAAGTAAAGTTTAACTGCTCTCTCAACCAAAGACTACAGGTACATTAACACTACATTCTTTTGCCACTTCAATGAACCCTAATAATCTGACAAGGACCACGAGTCCTTGTCATGAGTCTTGCAAACATTAAATACAACTCAGCAACACAGCAAAAAATGTAGCAAATGGTTTCTCTTCCTTGTGGAAAAATCCAGACCTAACTGATGT